TTAGTTATTGAAGTATTCATTATTAATATTAATATTTTATATGTGTTGTTTAATTGTATTTTATTTTATACGACTACAGTTATATTAATAACCTATTATATTTATACATTTATTTTTAGTGAGAAAGTGTATTATTGACTATGTATTAGTTGTTTTTTGACTAAATAAAGCATATATATATTAAAAACAATTGGATAAAAAGACGCATCTTACGCGGAAGTCATACACCGGTCATCTTCTTTATTGATTTTCGTTCAGGGTTATTAGCCATTGCAAGGTACGAGGGTGGTCGTTGTTTTATTTATTTAATTTTGTATTATATTTTTTATACTCAATATTATATGTCAACGTTATTCTGGCGTATTATTGAGGTAGTACTAATTTCCTTACTTACTCCCCCTTATTTTTGAGCTAGTGAGAAATTTTTTGCAAGTGCAAGCAACGATTAAAGCTGAAGCCGTTAGAATTCTTAATTCTTCTAACTAAATCTCAAGAAGGGGGTGGGTGATACAAACAAACAAACAAACAAACAAACAAACAAACAAACAAACAAACAAACAAACAAACAAACAAACAAACAAACAAACAAAAATACGTGTGGCACTCGGGGACTGCCGCGGTAAAGCTATTGCATAGCATTTTTACTTTCCTATCTTTATACAGATATAAGGAAAGTATAGGAATTATGATTTTTTTCGACCTCGAGTTTTCGACGGATTTTTACGTTTTGAGGTCCCCTGAATCCGTTTTGACTATTTTTCCGATGATGTCTGTGTGTGTCTGTGTGTCGCATAACTCATGAACCGATACACAGAAAAACACCAAATTTCAAACTTAAGCTTTGTTCCAGCGTCAAATGTGCTGATTAGATTTTGGGCAGTGTCGGAACATCTGAGGGGGTACTTTATAGGTGGTCATTTTTACATTTTATCGAATATATCTGTTAAGTTTGGGGAAGAAAATTCTTCAAATAAAAGTTACTTCTTATATTATTATCTAAAATTTTTGTTCTATACAAAATTTTCCTAAAATGGTCCGTATTCGAGAAATTTGACAAAATGTAAAAAAAAAAATTTTTATAAAAATTGTTCAAACAAAATATGTACCGTATTCGAGATATTTGATAAAATGTGTAAATTTCGAAATTTGAAGAAAACTCAAAAACGGATAAAGAAAAAAACATTAAATTTTAAACTTAAGTTTTATTTCGGCCTGACATGAAATGATTAGATTTTGGACAAAGTCGGAACATCTGGGGGGGTACTTTATGGGGGACCGTTTTTATATTTTATGGAATATATCTGTTATTTATGTTTGGAGAAAAAAATTGTTCAAATAAAAGTTATTTCTAATATTATTATCTATAATTTTTGCTTTATGTCAAAACTTCCTGAAATGGTCCGTATTCGAGAAATTTGACAAAATGTGCAAAATTCTGATTTTTATGAAAATTGTTGAAATAATTTTTGTTTATACATGATTTTTCTAAAATGGACCGTAATGGAAAAATTGTAGGAAAAGTGCTAAATTTAAATTTTTCAGTATTTTCATTTTCAATGAACATCTATAGAAAAATGTTTCGAGGTAGATGTATGTGGTTAATGTATATATTTATTTTATCCTCTAAACATTTATGGAGGTGCTGCAATAGGTTGTACAAAATAACCGGGAAAAGCCTGTAATAACTAGATAGGAAAGTCATGTGTTGGACACATCAGATTTTTTATCAACTTATGCAATTATATTTATTTATTTATTTTATTTATGCAGTATTTTTTTTCTTTGATATTAATTCAAATTTTTTCTTTGATATTAATTCAAGTTACACTTTTTGAGCGTGGTGACCGATAAGAAAACAATTTTTTTTTCTTTTATTGAATAAAATATTTTTATTATCTTACAATACATGTAGGTTATTCAGGAATTTTTATCATTGAAACTATAGGTTTATGGTAACTGAAATAAGAAACATAAGTTTGAGACTTGATATCCTCTAAATATCTGGAAAATACCGCGTCAATGGTGGTCTCATATTTTGTTGTGAATTCTTGTGGATCATTATTCATTTTCAAATTCAATTTTTCCGAAATTGTGTCTAAAAGAGATAGAATCAGTTATAAGCAGTTAGCAGCTGGTCTACACGCATATGTCTAGTCGCACGCACACCGTGCCGAAGTCTGCCGAACTGAAACGACGTTAGACGATGCACGGCTTTCAACGCCGCACCGCTGTACCGGTCGGAGTGGGGAGTGTTAGGTTTATTTTCGTTAGGGAATTTCTTTTTCGATTTTAGATTTTTCGATTTTTTTCGATTTTTCGGTTTTTCGATTTTTCTTTTATTGAATAAATGAGAAGTAAATATTGTTTAACGCCGCACCACTGTGCCGGTCGCAGTGGGGGTGTTAGTTTTTTTTTTCGTTACGGTCGTTACGGAATTTCTTGATTCGGTCGCCGTGCTCAAAGCCCGCGATAAAAGATATGCAATAGCTTAAAAACTAAATAAATAAATAAAACTATTGAGTATGTAAATTGGTTATTGATTTTAATTGCTCGTACTTATATTAGAGCGAAGTATTATAATGTACATTCATATATCACCTAGCACAATGATAGGTCTTACTTATTGCTAAGGCTGTACTCTAAACCTGCGACAGTTTCCCTACATTAGTCCTGAGTCCCGTGGTTAAAGGTAATAGAACACTTCAAAAGTCTGTCTTATAATGAAATAAGGAAAATAACCTATAATAATTATATTCACCATGACTGATGCACAAAAAAGGAAAATATTAGTAAAGTAAAGAATTATGTACAAATTATTCAGAATCACTGGTGTTATGCCCCAATCAGTACTGTTTGGTTCCCAATATCATAGTAAGTACATTAAATTTCAGGTTATACAAATAAAAGTTTCCATAGAGCTTAATTTATACAATCGATGGGAAAATCCCTCTTTTTATTAACACTAAATACTTAAATAGTCCTACACAATTTTAATTTTACAAAGCACAGAAACCAAGTACTTATTTTAAATTCTGTATACCTAGTAATTAGGCTCAACTTATTAGCTAAAACTTATTTTCTAAAATCATAGAAACCGATCCTCGTCAAAACTATACAGTGAGCATCTTAAGTCTTACCCCCCCCCTAACTAACTCGTTACTGGGGTCTTGTTAGGAAAATCGCTGAGACAGGTCGATTTTTAATTTCTACAATTTACATTTTTGCATGATTAGTTAACCCTTAATTTCATCCCTTACTGGAGGGTAAAAACCCTTTCGAAAAATTTCATGGCATGGGGTGGTGAGTGATAGCTCATTTGAAAGGGGGTTTTATTCTCTATTCAACCGTGCAAAAAAAATTTGAAATTTGCATCATTACATGTTTATTTATTAATGTTTAAAAATAACAAAACCTCACAAAATAGGAAAGCAACTAGACTAACAGTGACCTTCTAATGGCAAAAAGTCTTACTTCACGTCTGAACCAAAACCGAAGTCATGCAGGGCCGAATTTTAATTCTAAGGATGAGTGCGCTACGTTAATTTCCGTTATTCTGAAACAACAATTAGTCGAGAATTAATGAAGCAAATTTCAAATTTTTTTACACGGTTGAATAGAGAATAAAACCCTCTTTCAAATGAGCTATCACTCACCACCCCATGCCATTTAAATTTTTCGAAAGGGTTGCTCCCCTCCAGTAAGGGATGAAATTAAGGGTAAACTATTCATACAAAAATGTACATTGTAGAAATAAAAAATCGACGTGTCTCGGCGATTTTCCTAACAAGACTCCAATAACGAGTTAGATAGGGGGGGTAAGACTTATGGTGCTCACTGTATAATTATTTCGTTTTAATTAACAAATGCGGGGTATATACACTACTATTGGTAGTGAAGCCGTTAAGGAAATTCCTCTTACCTTCTGAGGTATATATAACTGGTAGTAAAGATTGGGTTTGTCTTACTTGCTGGCACTCCAGGTTCCTAGAGGAACAAGCAAGGAATCGACATCCTAAGGTAGATATACATACACACAAATGTATTCTAGAAGTGGAGAGTATCTCTACTGGGTAGATTAATTCGATGGATATCTAATACGACAAAATAACCTTCTTGTAGTGACCAACCGGGAATTTTGGGGGTGTCGTATAGTGAGGGGGTAAACCCGTCCTGGGGACCACAGCCTGAGGACCTGTAAGTCACGTTGAGATAGGGGTGGTCCGTGTCTAAGGCTAGTTCCAGAGCGGTAAGTACAAAACTATTCGAATAGTACATGTACTAATAGTAAAAATAAAAAGGTCTGCAAAGAAAATACATATATGTACACATAAAAATATTATTTTAGGACTAGGTGAGCTGCTGCAGGAAGAAATAAGTTAGACTCACTTGAGGATGTTGGTTGACCTTAAGGAGTTAGTCTTTTTTTCAATGGTTAGTACCCTAGATCCACAATAAAGTGTTAATTGATCCCACGCTCAATTCTATATGGGTTACTAACAATGATCCTTGTTCTTTCAAGCTAAAGAATCCGAAAAATCGATTGATTTCAATAGCACATGTTACAATCAGGTTAGCTTTTCAGAAGGACAGTAGAAAAAGTGTTCAAAAAAACTAGCAAGAAAATCCCTAAGACAATTTGGTAAGTCACTGAGAGGTCTAACTAATTGGATGCAACTGAATAGGGTATAAATCTTTTCATTTGGTTGGCTAGATCTCCAAAGGGGTCAGAAAAGGAGACTATAGTCTATCTTTGTGCCAAATTTCATCCTGATCCGTTCAGCAATTCTGGCGTGATTGAGTAACAAACATACATCCATCCAAACTTTCGCATTTATATAATAGTAGGATGAAATTCACTTTACCACCCTGTAGAATGAAAACTGTGACGTTTTTAAAGGAAAATTAAATTTAGCTTTTTTTTTATTAATTTGTTAAGAACTGTTTACGGTACTTTATTCTGAAACACCCTGTATAAAGTTGGTTATAATGCAAATACTTACAGCACCAGTTAGCATATCATACATAAGGGCACCTAATGACCACCAATCAACCTCTTTTCCATGACCATGTCTTGTCAATATTTCTGGAGCCCTGAAATTTGATAACGTTAATAATTTCTTAGAATAAACAAAATCAGGGTTGAAAAATAAATTTACACGGGGGGAAAGGAGCACCGGTAGAGCCAAAACTATAATTATTTAAATTATACAGGGTTCTCCAAGAAAGCGATACATATCAAGTTTGGTTTTTTAAATAGAACTCCGTATTTTATTTTATATATTGTCCTCGTTTTTCCCTTTATAACAATACAAAATAGTATGATATTATACAGGGCATTTCACACGATATAACCATTTTTATATAAAAATCTTATTGATTTTAATGACTTGTATAGTACAAAAGAAACAACTAAAAACCATTTTTTTGCGGTAAAAGGTTTTCGATATTAGTCAACATTTATGCCGATGCAATCCTTATTTTGATTAGAGTCAAAACTCAAATACATCATTTTTAAATTGACCATTTAAAAATACCTTAATTTAAGTTTTATTTATGTTAAGCATTCCCTGTACCTAAAGTTAATAATTTTCGGAGATTTTTAAATTTTAATGAGAAAAAATATAATTCACAAAATATACGAAGCATCTGCAAAACTTGATGGAAAGAATTTCATGTAACATGTAACGTTTTCATCTAGTATTCAAAAACAAGAGTTTTTTAATATTTCAAAATGCCCCTCTTGAAATTTCGAACTTCTTATTAAACATAGAAAATACTGGAGATGATCTTAGAAAAAAATTAATTTTAGAATGCTCTGAAGTGGAAATCGTTTCGAAAAACCGACAAAAGGAACTAAAATTCTCACATTTGCACATACACTGAAGACACAAAAGGTTATGATTAATAATAAAGTTCAAAAAATCCGTATGCAGCGTGATCTTTTCGGGCGTCTTCTTGCAATTGCACTTGATCAAAAAATGTATATAGAGAAAGTGTTATCGTTCCCACTAACGCCTGTACCCTTGTCTCTGTCATCTAGACGCTACAATATGTAAAACCTATAAGTCGGTTTTACTAAAAACAGAAAAAAGACCTAGATGTAATTGTCATTGATGGGTTTTTCTTCTTGTACTTACTGAAACATATACCTTTGACATTTGGTAATATATCTAAACAAATATTACAAGCCGTAGCTAAGTAAAATACAAGAACAATTGCGATTATTTTGATCGATACGAATCGCCCTCAATAAAGGATAGTGAACATATTCTTTGTGGAATCTTGATTATGTCATCACAAGAAGAGAATAGAATCGACCTAGAGATTTTGTAAAAGAGCTTCGAAACTTAAAATTCAAGGAAGCTTTGGTCAAGTTTTTGATAAATGATTGGAAAACAGATGAAATGGCGACTTACATTGGAATTAAAACAATATCTGTAAATTTTGATTATTACTATAAATTTGAAGTTGTAGATAATACAGTAAAAAAGACAATAGATGAAACTGCTGATACAAAATTTTTTTACCATGTTTGAAATATAACAACAACAACTGATAAATCAAATTCTTGTTATATTGCTTGCAAATTTCAAAAATGTAAACAATTTATGTAATGTTTGGATGAAAGTAGGTGTTGGAAATAATAAACGTCACATCGATGTAAGCAAATTATATTTGGAACTCGAAGAACCTCTTTGAGCTGTTTTATCAGGTTTACATGCATTAACTGGATGTGACTATAATCCGGCATTTTTCATGAAAGGCAAGAAACGCCCAGTTAGTATTATGGAAGCGTCGGATGAATTCCAGCGAGCTTTTGCTGAGTTTAGCGATATCAATAGTTATGATTTTACGCTCGTATTCAATATAATACAATTCGTTTGTAGTTTATATAGCTTGAATAACATAAGCTTTGTGAATGAAGCTCCACTCGCAATATTCACAAAAACGTATACATTTAAGGATGATTTATTTAAAATAAAAAGTAAAAATGTAGATGCCTCCAATTTACCACCATGCAAAGCCGAAATCAAGAAACATGTTCAACGAGCTGCCTACATTTCAAATATTTGGAAAAATGTAGTCAACCAACTTTGACGCAAAGGTCAGCAATGGAAAATGGTTGGCGAAATGTCGAGGGAAAATAAGATTTCGATTGATTTGAAGGCGATCAATGCCCAGTCCTCGTAAGAGACGTTGTTCTTCAGCTAGATGGAAATGAAGGTAAAATGTTCCTTTTGAAAATTCTCAATTGTTGAAAAATGAATAAGGTAAGTGCACCAATAATTGACAGTGTTCCAGTAATTGACACTTGCTCAATTAATCTTCAAAAACATTAGACTATATATGAGCAATTTATCTTAAACATTGGTATTTTTAGAATATTTGGCAAACGTGTAGCCTACGTAACAGATGTTAGATGGTACCACGGTCAGTTACAAAATGGTGAAAAGAGCACGTGCAGTGTTAGAATGTATATGTTAAGACATTTCATAAGGTCAGTATACCAAATTGAATATATCTACTTCTTATCACTTCATGTTAAAATTTATTTAAACTATTCCTGGGGGTGTATTAAACAACACTGATGGGTTTTTACTGGTTTTTATGCATGTAAATCCTAAAACCCCATTTTTTGTTAAAGTGTCAATAATTGGAACAAACAAAACCAGTATGTTCCAGTTATTGACATACCCTGTCAATCACTGGTCCACAAGCAAATACTGATATACACTTTTGTCATACTGTCTAAAAGTCTGCAATATACCATTTAAATATGAGATCTAACAGCCTTTTGGTTCCAGTCATTGACAGGGATGTCAATTATTGGTACAAGAAGTGTCAATAACTAGAACACGTTTTTTATTACAGTTATGGCACATAAAAAAAATTATACAGATGCTCAGTTGGATGAAGCTCTTGTGCTATAGCAAGAGGGATGTCAGTAGCTAAAGCTGCTAAAACTTACTTTGTTCCACGAATAACGTTACTTTATAAATCAACAGGAAAGCTACCTATACATTGCCGAATGTGACCAAGTACCATCCTCACAAGCAATGAAGAAACTCTTGTCGAACAGTGGATACTTTCTCTAGCAAAAGTGCACCATCCAGTAGGCAAAGGGCAATTACTAGACAGTGTCCAGTTTATCGTTAAAGAAAGTAAACGACCAAACCCTTTCACTGATTCGAGACCAGGGGTAAAATTCTCGAGTCTCGCATTAAAATTGTCGTACACGGCAAATGTCGCATACCAAATTCGTATGGTTGTTAAAAATACATATTTATGGATGCGTTTAAACCTATGACGCCGGGGTTTTAGAAAACTGAAATTTTCAGTGAATGTAGTTGTGAAGTACCTGATTAAATCCCACTTAGTCAGAATGTGGCACAAATCGCCGTTTCCTCATAAAAAAAAATAATAATCTTTTAGGGGTGCTTTTTAACCTATGACGCCGGGGTTTTAGAATACCGATATTTTTGGAAAAGTAGTCGTCAAGTAGCAGATTAAATTCCAAATAACCTGAATTGCCGGAATTGGAGATGCGACTTTATAGATGGTTTCTTGCTCAACGTAAGAGGATATGCCAGTTTCAGGTGACTTGATCAGGCAAAAAGCCTTAAGTTTGAGCGTGAGTTTAAATGTTGGTGGTTTTAAAGCAAGTGATGGTTGGTTGCAGCGTTTCAAACAACGTCACGGAGTAAGATCATTGAAGATAAGTGGAGAACAACTTTCGAGCCAGCCTGAATTCATCGACCCATTTAAAGCAAGATTAATGAGCGTGATTCAAGAACACAATTTAAATGAGCACCTGCTGTACAACGCTGACGAAACTGGATTATACTGGCAGTTGCTACCGGATAAAACATATGTTGCTTTAGCGGAAAAAACAGCCTCTGGAATGAAGCTTGCTAAACAACGAATCACGTTTTTGGGTTGTACAAATGCTTCAGGCTTACACAAAATCAAACCATTAGTCATAGGAAAAGCCAAAAATCCCAGATGCTTCAAGAACTTCAACAATCCCCTCGTTTATAGAAACAGTAAAAATGCATGGATGACAGGCGAATTGTTCAAAAACTGGTTTTTCAAGCAGTTTGTTCCTGAGGTAAGATTGAACTACCATTCACATAGGTGCACAATCTGACTAGCTGTTAATTTCAGGTTAAGAGTTTTTTGAAAATTCAAAAACTTTCAGAAAAAGCGATGTTCTGGACAACGCACCGTCTCATCCACCGGCTGAAGAATTGAGAACTAATGATGGAAATATTTTTGTGATGTTCATGCCGCCAAATGTAACGCCTCTGATCCAACCCATGGACCAAAATGTACTCACTCACCAAACTTTATTATAGAAACAGTTTACTTAGTTGTATTGTGGCTGGGGACGATCCAGCCGGAATCGCTCTTAAGAAAATTACATTAGGGGACGCAATTATACATTTAGCAGCTGCATGGGATAAATTAAGTCCTGATGTTATCTCTAAATGTTGGCATAATATTATTGTAAACGTCAGTGCAGAAACTGATCAAGGACAACTGGATGAAGACGACTTACCACTCTCTGTTTTACAACAAAGAATAAATCAAAATAGGGTTGTTGACATTGCTCTTGAGGACACAATTGCACTGCTTCAAGCAATAGAGCCTGTAAGGTTTAAATTCAAATGCCTAGATTAACTTATGTACAGTGTTTTTCCGAATGTATGTAAATGTTCTGTTCATTTTTAAAATTACAGGTCGAATACACTTCTCAAAACGTAGAGGAATGGAACAAATATACAGTTTCAACTGATGACAGTGATCAAGTAACGATGAGTGTAACGATGGCAATTTTGGGTGCCAGGTCACAAAGGGATCGAAGGCAACGAAAAGGCTGACGAACTTGCAAAAAGAGGGTCAGAAGAAACACCGGAACCAGACACAAACCCAGGAGTACCAAAAAGTACAGTCCGGGGTTTTATAAATGACTGGATTCGGGAACAACATATCAACTATTGGGGAAGCACCCCAAAACAGGCACATGGAAAAGCCTTCATAGGTAGACCATGTCCCAAAAGAACTGGAGAACTACTCTTAATGAATAGGAA